TATTGAATTGTGCTGTTCTTATGTTCTAGCTAACGTTTTTATGCCTTTAGTTAATCTACATGCAATGGTTACAGAATTATCAACAATTTAACCCTCTGGGCGGCCAGCGGTTTCGCTAAGAAAGCACAAATTTCCCAAACTACTATGAGAACAAATTATTTTTTTGATTTTAATGCAAAAACTCTCCTGGTATTTCATACCTGGATTTGTTTTCTTTTGATATATTGCCTAAGTTTCGTTGACATATTTTAATATGCACGTATATATACGTTCTTACAGATATCACAATAAATTTTCTAGGCCGTATATATACGGCTTTGCCGCTTAGAGGGTTTTAAAGGCGTAAGTGACGCTAGGCCTAACTTCGCGGTTATCTGTTTACATTTGAAACTGTTAGTTGCACAATGAATTAAGTTAGTTGATGCACCAACTTAAATGTGTTTTATCTCTGTGGGCCAAACTAAACTTTAAATTAGTGTACACCGAATATTTTGCCTTTCTGCCCTTTGGCAGACTTACTTGTTTTCCCGTAGAAACTGTAATTTTAATTGAAAAAATAATAATAATATTTTTAACATTATTTGGTGTTTTAGGTGTTTCTGCATTTTATAATTTTAATGAAGATGTATGATATTTTGATGTATTTTCGTTTTGCAGCGGAGTGAAAACTGAATTTATTGAACAAGAAATATTCTTGTATTATTATATATATATATAATAATACAAGAATATCTAACGAAATTCGAAGAAATAATGTTAAATGAAGGGAAGAAAAAAGTGTATATAATTTAATAGCCCTTATAAGGAAGTCATACGATGCCCACATCAGTTTTTTTAACAATTTAGAGTAACAAGACGGAATAGAAATCAAACAGAAATCTTTTTGTAAAAATAATAGTTATATGTTATTTAAATAAACGTTCTCAATTACTTATTGTCTGTTTAATCGAAATGAAAATAAATTACAATATTTACTGATAGTTCATTTTATTCGAAAATTTGAAATCGTAGAAGCCCTGAAATCAATGCATTGCTCGTGTAAGAAATTTATACAAAATAATTTATTTTTAATTTATTTATTCTCTTAAAATGGTTACGTGATAATACAATTTTGCACTTACGATATCTTCTAATTAGCAATCAGTATGAATTAATTTGTATATTATACTCTAATCTCAATCATTCTCTTAATTATGTATAATTATACCCCACATATTAAATGTAATCTCGACATCTATTAACTGAACTAAAGCGCTCTTTAATTAAAAACACACCTGCGCTAAAGAATAATTTCCGATTAACAAAAATATATAGAACCAACCACCTTTTTAATATGCAACGAAATTTTAAGAATTTTTTTTATATTTTTTATAACGTTATTTTCTTTATCTCTGTTTATTGCTTAAGTGCACCTAATCGTTTTCTCAAAATCTCATAACCTCCGCATTAGTAGATTTTTAGACCCAGATTCATCTAGGATTCTTCAAGCTGCACTTTCATTAAGACATCAGCTTAACAATTTTTTTCTTGGTATTTTTTCGTGTAATTATTTCCTATACCACGTGTATTTTTGGGTAATTATTTCATACCCTCCCACCCATTCTTATGTATTCCCAAAGACTTAATGGCATTTAAATTAAACGAAGAAAACCATTGCCACACAGTAGCAGACGGAGGGGGGAGGGCAGAAAAAAGAGAAAAATATTTCGGCTCAGCCAAACATATTAAGGAAAAAGATTTTTAAGACATTTAAAGTAAAAGGGAGTGAAAGTTAGAGTAAAAAATAAATAAATACATTCATATTGCGCTCACTAAAGGGAGGGAAAAGGCGAATGTTATAATGTTTTAATTCCAAAATTTAACGAAAAACGAGCGACGAGTCTTCTGCAAAAACATTAATTTCTCACCGGGGAATATTTTTTTAATATTTTAAATAGGGAAATACACCTAATCGGAGACTCCCTCCTCCTTCCCTTGTAAGCGCACGGATAAATGAAAAAGAGCGGTTAATAGCGAAAATCTGCACTTACCTGATAAAAGCTGTGAGCGGAGTTAAAAAAAAAAAAAAATAAGGAAAGGAAAACAGAACGACGATAAGTTGTAAGAAAAGAAATAATAAAAAAAAGCGTACCCACTAATTGCATGTATATTTGAATTGCAAATTTTCTGAAGTTGCTACGGGAACGAATTAGGTATACGATATTTAAAAAATAAACAAAAAAAAAAAAAAGTCTTACCTACGAAAATTCTCACTTAAGTTTGCCAGTGCAGTTGTAAGGCAATCTCTCGCGAAACATTTCTGTTCCAAACCTGTTCCTCACTTACATAATTTATTAGTTTTTAGACCCTTCGCATATTTTATTGTGGAAAAGCTACTTTGATTGGCTGATCAGAATTCCGAAGCGTTTTGATGCAATCTATGTCCGCATATTCATATCTACTTTAAAAACAGCTTGGCGAAAGAAGGGAACTTCAACTTTTAAAAATATTTTGTATCCGTTTTTCACTCTTCACCAATTAAAAGAAAAGCAAAAAAAAAAAAAAAAAAAAAAAAAAAAAAAAAAAGAAAAATGAAATTTAACGACGTGGTCAGCAAAAAGAAGTATGCTTATAAGATACATCAATGTGTTCTCAGCTTTCGTTTTACATTTTTTAACGTTGCAGTAATAATTTTAGTAAAGATTAGAGTTCATCCTAGAAAGTAATCTGTGTTAAATGTATTAATTTTGCTCAAATTATTTTATAAAGTATTTCTTAACCCAAAGGGGCGTGACCGCAGAATGGGTATTAGTCTCGAAACAGCATTTATCGAATCACTAAAAGTGTTGAATCACTTTCCAAATTGTTGCTACCAAATATTATTGCCCTGCATTATTATATTTGAGGAAATTAAACATAAGCATCAGCATGAATGTATGTATATTTCACGCATTGTGAAATATACATACCATAAATAAGGTACCTACAGCCATCAAATTTTGAATAACGTAACCCTCCACCCGAATATAGGCACTGGAAGCCTGAATTTTTCTTATAGTGTCTACGGATATATATAAGACTTATGGTGATCAGATAGTCGGCGATCAAGATTATCATAGACATTTACTAAGCCAATCCGTGGTTAACGACGAATGATGATTATCTCTACATGTAATAAAATAAAGAGTCTGTCTGTGTGTGTGTGTTTTTCGTTCTCGCTGCGCGTAAGCTAGTAGACCCACGGCTACGAAATTTGGTACATATGTGCATCTAGACAAGAGCCAGTGCACCTCGAAGCGATTTTTTCAAAATTCGAATTAGAATTTTTTTTATTTTATGTTTTGTGACGAAATCGCGTCATTTTGAGACATAATGGGCTATAGGAAAGCGAGATTTTACTCTACAACACTCCATTTTCACATCGTCATGAAACGTAGGCACTTAGCTATTTTACGAACTTAAAATAAATTTCGTGTTTCAATAAATCGATTGAATACGAATTTATTTATCGAAGGGAGCTTAACACTTTTTCAATGGGATTTTTTCTGAAAAAGTTTATTTTTAAAAATGTACAGTTTATTTTTCTTTGATTTTGGGACACGTTAAACTTTCCTTGCGACTGCTTTTTACAAAAGGAATTTTGGAAAATGATAATATTTTGTATTTTTAAAGAATTTTTTAAATGAGCTTCCGAGTACACACTTCTCACACCTCACATCTTTAAAAATGTTATTTTTGGCAACAATTTTCCTGTCTTATTGTTGTTGATAGATTTTTGATGAAATCGCATCATTTTGAATAGTTTCATTCTTTTAGAAATGGGTTTTGGCAACAATTTTTTATATATTTCTTAGTCACTGTTTTTAAGAGATTGGCCTATTTCATTGTCATTTATACATATATATATAATACATTTTTATTGATTTTTTTTGATAAAGTTGTTCTGCGGAGTAACATTCTGCGTGGAATTTTATGCTTTCTGAGTTGCTTTCATGTTATTTTTTGCTTATTTATTCAATTTTTGTAAGATATTGAAAAGTTTTGCATGATCTTTTTTTCTTCAACGGAAAGCTTATTTCATTGTAATTGTTTTCTCTTGAAAATATAAGATAAAGTATCATTAATTATACTTTGCTTTTCAGAATTTTTTTTTTTTTTTGGTTTTTTGTATTCTTTTATGTTATTTATGGCTCATTTCACTGTTTTTAAGATATTGAAAAGTTTTGAGTGATTTTTTTAGGAAACAAAATTCTTAACCTCCTTTATACCAGAGTTGTTAGATTTTGCAAAGGGAAGTTGGTTAATTTATTTATAGGATAATTAATATTTGTATTAAGGGATACTGCTTATTTCATTGTAGTTTTATTATCCGTAATAACGTTTTTATGAACTTGTTCTGCAGAGTAAAATTCTAGCACTTTTTAAATTTAACGTTTGGTGTTCCCTTCAGCCATTTTTCCGGTACATTTAAAAGCCAGACGAAGGCTGGCAGCGAAGCTGCTAGTGATTATATACAAGTCAATGATAAAACTTGATATTCATACAGTTGTTTCTCGTTCTGACTTTTTTTTATTGCTACTGAATGTATTTTTTTAGAAACCGTAACACCGGATAGACTCTGACGAATAAAAAAAATACAACTTAGGCTTTTAGCTGGTCACCATCTGTACTCCCACAGTGCAGCGTTAGTTCTGGGGTACTGATTCCGTAATGCTCACATCAGAAACCCTTAACTTTCGCACCTCACTCTTTTGAATATTGCAGAAACCCGTGACGCATAATAAATCAAAGTATTGGGAGAGGCGTAAAGTTGTTTAGATGAAAGCAAGTCTTACAGGTTGAAAGCACCTTACACAAAAATGAACTCATTGCTTTTAATAATAACTGCAAATGTTTTAAAATTCTATAGATCTGTATAATGCCGTCATCTATAATTGCATTTATATAATTTATAATTTATATAATTCTTTCAAAATTAAGTAATGTTTCTTTTTTTTTTTTTTTTTTTTTTTTCTTTACAGATTGCCAGATGTCAGCATAAAGGGGAAACCGACCGGAAACCGTGCCGGCTGCGTTGCTTCCGGGACTCAGATTGTGTAATATATATAAAGAGTTGTTTTCCATGTATATCTAACTGTTGGCAAGTTAAAAGACATGAAGACAATACGAAATGGAAGAATTGTCAACTTGTTTTTTCTGTTATATCCACTTGTTGCAAGCTAGCGAATGGTTGAAAGACGAAGCGAAATTCACATTAATTCCATTATTTCACTAAACCCTGTGATGTTGCCCGACATATCGCCATATTTCAAGGTCGCGATGGTATAGACTATATATAGTGGCTTTGAATTGAATGTATTTGCATCGTGCAGAAAAAAGTTTTTATTGGAGTTTGCATCAATGGAAGAGTGCACATTTGATCGAAGTATCAGTCATTGAAATAATTATGTTTTCTAATTTTGTATTTTATGATTAATTAACTAAACTAATTTATATCTTTTTTTAATGTCACGATAAATAAAGGTACCTACAGCCATGTCACGATTAATGTCACGATTAATTAGTAAATAATCTGTTTAAACGTTTATTGTTTATGCATGGGACCTTCATTTATTAATCTGAAAGTAATTTTAAAATTTATTGGTTCATTATTTCATTTAAAAATCTACCTGAAGTTCATTTCGTATGCTTGGGAAATGAATCAAAAACATTTAAATATGCTATTGTTAGAAATTAATGTATTAGGTGCTTGCAATAAGTCATCGCATTTTTAGATGTTTGTTTTATTGACTGCAAAAAAAAAAACATGTATATTAATTTTTTTAAATAATCCAATGTTTAAGCCGTTGGTTTGTGAAGACGTTCCTACAATTCACCGCTTTTAAATTTTTTTGGTTTGTCGGAATGCAGTTTGTCATTAACTTCCACTTCACTAGCTCTAAAATTTTTATTTAATTTTCTACATATAGACACATGGATATAATTATCAGATATAAGATTATCTTCAAAGGCTTTGCACGGGATCCATTTTGTTTTTCGTAATGGTTTCTTTCTGGTTAAAACTGAAAAGCGTACTGTGCCGCAGATACACTTTATTCATTTACAGTAATGAAATGACGTGAGCAAAATGTAGTAATTTTAAATGAAATAAATTCAGGGAAATATTTTCCTCCTAAAAAGATAAAAAATATTATTACATTAATAAGAGTGCTAGGAAATTTAAAATTTACACGAAATAATACGAATATAAGACAGCCTCAGGAACATTTCTGCAAAAGTAGCTGCGAAAAGTCGATTTTTTAAAACTGATTTCATAATTAAAATGCATTCTGTATAAGGAAAAAATATAATTTTCAACATTGTTTTATTTTCCAGTAATAAATAATGAACAAATATGAAACATTTTGCTTCTATTATCTGATAAAACGGAAACGTGTTTTACACATTGAAAACTACGATCTCCTTGTTAACTCTTCCATGTTGATGCTCTCTTGCTTGTTTTTGTGCCGAATGAGTAAGAAAAATGTACCACTGTGGTGTACTACATACAGTACGTTGTATCGAACTTTACGAAGAAGTTATCTTCGATAAAATATTCAAGAACTTTCGTAGTTTCGGAAGTCTCGAAACTCATTTTTGATAAATGTGCACTCACTGTAGTTAGAATGATCTGTGAACAATCTTCAGTTCAATTTTAATGAACATAATTTTTAGAGATTTCTGCAATTATTTGCGATTATTACTCTTATGATTACTAAATCTCTCTGGAATGTTACTTATATTGAGAAATTTATGTGCTTGATTGTCCATGAGCATCCATGATTTGCGATATCCAGTATATTCTATCAATATTTAAACTTACTAAGCCGGTAGAACACGGAAGCATGTTAAAGATCTCAGTTACTGAAATGATCAGTTTTCATACTTAGGGTAAATGTCTTTACTTTTTTTAAATACGTTAAGTTTTTACATAAACATAAATATGTCACGGAGTTCATAAAGCTTTATGAATTCCCCCCATTTTGATTAATTACTTATGAATAATTGGTTAATTAGATTTCTACGCAACTTATTATGTGAAACAATGTTTCATATAAATTGCTAAGAAATTAATTTTTTTACAGTACCTCAATAATTGTTTCCCTTGATAATTTCACCTATTTAGAAGTAAATGGTTTAGAAATTTTACAAAATGGAAAGTGCACAGTTTTTTTTATCTCAATTTCCTAGTTAATATAGCCAAAAATTTTACATTTTTTAAAGAATTCTTATCGAAACTATTCCCCAGAACAGACTTCGGCAATCTATGACCCATTTAATAATTTCCAGCGACCCACTTGAGTTCTGAAAATTAATATAATAAGTAAAAATAAATTATAAACCATAAATATGAAGCGGGCATTTAAATAATACATAAAAAAAACAAAATAAAAATATAACAATGACGTTTTTGATTGATTACAAAGTTCCAGTAACGAAGTTATTTTTTAAAATAAAAATTGTAGCGAATTTCAAGAAGAAATCGATAAGTTTGGCAACACCAACAGCTTTGCCATTTTGTCCGCATTCGATTCAAAAGTTCTGTATCAGGGAAACCATTGATATCTAATAGAAAAGTGAAGTTCATTCGGTAATGTTTGTTTTTAAAATAATCAGAATTAGAATTTTAATTTTTATGTTTAAAGTGTATTGCAAGTACTTTATCAATAAAATTTATCTTATTATTTGCCAAGAAAGACTGTTCTAAAATGAAAATGACATTGACCCGAAGCATCTTCTTAATACACACATTTCAGTTGACTTTGACCAGCAACAAAAAAAAATTACCAACGCCTTCCCTAGAACATATAGATTGATTTGTTTTAAATACTAGTACAGAACAAAAGGAATTAGCATAAATTCAGTTTCATAGAAATGCAATTATTTCAACAAGTACAATAAAATTTAGCGAATGAAAGACAAACTGTAAACTAATCATTTCATTTTACCTTTCGATAACATTTAATTTCATTAAAACAATTACACTGTGATGAAATTTCTTAAAATATAACATATAAATTAAAATTTTAAAAAAATCTTTCAAGTAAGGAAATGTGGGGAGTCATTTGAAACACTCGTAATATTTTAAAGTTTTATAATATTTTTTGCAAAAGAAGTTAAAACTTTTTTCCCTTGGCTTTATATAATTTTTCTAGATATTCATTATATTAATAAAATGCATTATTTGTAATTATGTGATCGAAAATGTAAAGGTATTGAAAATGGGATTAAATATGTATTAATTCGGAAGACATATTTTTCATTAACTAAAATTAAAAGACATAGTTGTTTTTTAAATCATACTAGTTAAAAACCTGAAATTCTGTTAACACAGTTTAAACGTTTTATACAAAAAAAAAAAAAAAAAAAAAAATGTGCTAAAAGCGTAGCTGAATTTGTGCAATATTTGATATTTATATTTTTTACACATGCTTTACATAATGTTTAATGAATTTGTACAGGAGGAATACTGTTGCCAGAATTTTATGAATAGAAGAATTTAAGAATTCATTAAAAATTGTGTGATCTTTTTTGATAAGTTCTTGTTAATAGTAAAAACATTTTTTCTTTTTACAATTACTACTCCTTTCGAAATTTATTTTGCATTTCAGTAGCATCCATGTAAAGTTATCCCATCCCAAACTAGTTTTGCTTAAAGTCAGACAAAAAGGAGCCTCATTTTCGGAGATTTTTTTAAAAAATCTATTAATTAATTTCCAGAACGATAGAGTCCTTTCCTTCAGAAGGGAAAAAAAGAAATACTGAAGAAATTTCGCAAACATTCAGCAGAAAGATTAAGCAAAGATTTTTTTCTGTTGAAGAACAAAAGCATATATATAATTGCCCTCAAAATTAATACAGTTTTATTTAAAGCCCACGCCAACCTAAGGCTGCTTTTTTGCGTAATTTTAAATTTAGTTTTAGCTTGTCTCCCTTCTAATTTGGTATTCTGCTTAGATCTATCATTTTTGGAAGTATATCATATTTTAATTCGATTTAAACTCATTAACTGTGTCTGTAACGTTTTTCGGAAGTATCTTACGCAACTGTAGAAAGGATAAATTAAAAGAAAATTAATCTAATGATTTAATGAAAAACCAATTGAGACCAATTGAACCGTAAAAAAAGCAACATTTTTTCCCCTAAAAATTACAAGTAAAATAAATACATAAATCAGTGATAGTTCCAAGTTTTTTAATTTATTCCAAATAATTATAATTCTTTAGAATCTTTTAAAATACTCCGAATTTTTTATATGACTTAGAAAAAACATATTGAATGTACTATAAAAAATTATAACAAATTTGTAGTTTACAATACAAATTATTTCCTGGAAACTGAAAGTGAATTTTGACCAGTATGACAGCTTCTTAGTCTTGATGTAAAGGGTATTGTGGATAAACAGAAGGTATTTCATATTTCAAAATTGGACATAAAATATGTTCCTGATAATATGCGGAGTTGATTTTAACATTTTTCACCATTCTCTTTATGTTTAATTTACTGTTATATGAAAACCCAACAACAATCTTAAATTATTTTGAAACACTTTCTTTAGCATCTTTGAACTATGTTCAACATTTTTTTCTGCTCTTTGATGATAATAAATGAACCTCTTTTTATTGCAGTCATCTAAAGACACCCAAGATTCTTCTACTGGAGCAATATTTTTACAGATAATTGCTTCTCGTAAAGAATTCTGCAGCGCGTTCCACGTTCGGCGATATGATGTTGAAAAAGATGATACACATTATGCTTTTTTGCCTTTTTAAGATTCAAATCAGTATTAATCGCTTTGTTTACAGTAGACACTGACTTGGATTTTTTTCATACTAATGATTTTACTTTGCGACCTGTGAAACATTCTGTTTTTACCTTAGATATGTATTTTGGGACACATTTTCTCCTTGAAGCAAAACTCTGATGTCTTTTACCTTTGTCAACATTAGTACCTTGCATAACTTTGTATTTTCAGAAGAGATTTTTAATAACTATATACGAATAATTTTTCACGGGGAGAGCAAAAACATAGCCTTCCATCTGCTGCTTCTTTAAAATCGTCATTTTGCACGATAAAAAGCTTTCAAGAAATAGACGATTTCTTTCGAAAATATAGTTGCGGTTAAAAAAATTCAAAGCAGACGATTTTTTATAGAAAAGCAAAATCTCTAAAAAGTGTGCTAACAACCACTGTATATATATATATATATATTGTGAATAATCCTTACCCATCTGTAAGTATAGTTTTTCTGAAGAACAAAAACGGAAATCTTAGAAGAAAAATAATTTAAACACATGTAATTCCTAACACTAGTTTATATTTATAAATTAATTAAGTTACAATTAAATGCACAAAATCACGCTATCAGAACAAAAATGTTCAAGATCTACAAGATTTATTTTACAACTCATTTACAGTAACAATAATAAAATGGTGAACTATAATTAAATTTCAAATGTTTCAATAAATAAAAGTACCCTAATAAATTTTTGCTCAGCTAATTATTAGATTTAACGCTTTTTTTCGGTATCATATAATTTCAAAAGAGATATCCAGATATTCTTAAAGTTAATCTGAAATTGAGATCATTTTAGTTCTTGCTATACCAATCATTAGTTCTTGCTATACCAATACAAAATATTAAAAATGGCTACCCTAAAGCAAGTGATTTATTTCTGAAACATTTTTGAGATCCTTTTAGTTCTTGCTATACCAATCATTAGTTCTTGCTATACCAATATAAATATTAAAAATGGCTACCCTAAAGCAAGTGATTTATTTCTGAAACATTTTGAGATCATTTTAGTTCTTGCTATACCAATCATTAGTTCTTGCTATACCAATATAAAATATTAAAAATGGCTACGCTAAAGCAAGTGATTTATTTCTGAAACATTTTGAGATCATTTTAGTTCTTGTTATACCAATCATTAGTTCTTCCTATAGCAATATAAAATATTAAAAATGGCTACCCTAAAGCAAGTGATTTATTTTTGGAACATTTTGAGATCATTTTAGTTCTTGCTATACCAATCATTAGTTCTTGCTATGCCAATACAAAATATTAAAAATGGCTACCCTAAAGCAAGTGATTTATTTCTGAAACATGCCTACTCATGGACTGAATTTGAAGCAGAATGAATTTTTGTGTAATGTAGTGATTTTTAAACCTCGAACTGAAATCAGTTTCAGGCATAAACCTTGTTGTGCGTCTACTGTGCATATATGTACTGAAGAGTTTAACTAAAATGCTTGAACTAAAATTAATTAAATGTACTGAAGAGTTTAACTAAATGACACAAAAAAAGTGGTTCGTCTTTTGTCGTTGTTACAGTACTGTGTGAATATCTTCCGATGCATCATCACCACAATACATATTACCACATAGGTACTATTACATTGGAATCAAAGATTCTCTTCTTTTTGTACATATATTACTTCGTGTATTATTGTATGTTTTATGCGTTGTGTGCTTGTGTAATGCTGCCAATAAATTCATTTTAGAACACTGTCAGTGCTCTTTTTTATTTCGTGATTTTTTTTTCTTGTTCTTTAAGCAAAGTTAATTAAAGCGAATGTTTTGTTGCGATTGCCACGATTTGATTTCATTGTGAAATTTTACAAAGTGCCAAGGTTAGGAAGGGAAACAACATTTTAAGTCTTACTTACTGTGTACGAGGGTCTTATTATTAGAATGGTTACTGTGATCGAGGGTATCCGCCGATAACATCGCGGCAAAAACATCGCAGACGAAAACGTCGCGGAGAAAACAACGCAAGGCGAAAACGTCGTGCTACAAAACATCGTGGGAGAAAACATCGCAAAGAGAAAACATCGCAGTTTTAAAACATCGTGGTATAAAACATCGTCGTCGAAAATAAAGCGGTTCAAAAACTTCGCAGTTTAAAAACATCGTCGCCGAAAATATCGTGATAAAAAATAAAGTATCTATAAATCATCGCATGACGATAACATCGCAGACATGCTTTTTTCATACATGCTTTTCGCAAACATGCTTTAATATCTGTAAATGGATATCCCAAATGATTTGTGAGTGCAAGATGTAAAGAAGGATAATTTTTACTTCACATTTTTTATTAACTAATAAATTTTTTGCTGAAAAAGTAAGAAGGAAACTTAAGCATAGAAAATTAAATGCAACTTATAGATTTACTTTTCACGAAAATTACCAGTTAAAAACTTTATAAAACGATTTATTAATGGCTTTTGTTAGTTAACTATGTCGGTTTAAAATTCTATTAAGTGCTATAAGTTGCATTAATTTTCTATGCTTAAGTTTCCTTTTTATTTTCCTCAGCAAAAAGTATTAATTAATAAAAAATATGAAAGTAAAAATTATCCTTCTTTCCATCTTGCGCTCACGAATCATTATGGGAATAGCCATTTACAGTTATTAAAGCATGTCTGAAAAAAGCATGTCTGCGATGTTATCGTCATGCGATGATTTGTAGATACTTTATTTTTTACCACGATATTTTCGACGACGATGTTTTTAAACTGCGAAGTTTTTGAACCGCTTTATTTTCGACGACGATGTTTTGTACCACGATGTTTTAGAATTGCGATGTTTTCTCTTTACGATGTTTTCTCCCACGATGTTTTGTAGCACGATGTTCTCGCCTTGCGTTGTTTTCTCCGCGACGTTTTCGTCTGCGATGTTTTTGCCGCGATGTTTTCGGCTGTAACCGGGATCGAGAAACTTCTGTTGCAGGAAATATCGATGATTATAAGACAAAACCTGAATTCTCGATAAACGAGAATTGATATTCTTTACACACTGCTACCTGTCATAAACGGAGAGAACAATCCTTGAATTCAGAGATATTCCTTTATCATTTATGCATATATGCTGAAATTTCCTATTCGACATTATATATATGTAAGATAAAAATATATGAATCGAAATTATAGTTTAAACTATAAACATTAATTCTTCCTCTCTATATATTCTAAAATCGTAATAACTTCTCTGCATTGTGTCATTTCTAGATCACTCTATGGCCCGCGCAGCTCTGATGACGTAATAATTAAGAACTGAAACTGCCTTTGTAAACCAAAACTTTTCTCTTCGGCGTGCTTCCATCTTTCCTAACTACGCACTTCAGCTTTTGCTCTCTACTCTGCTAAGATGTAATTTCGCTGGCTTGCTTTCTATCCCAACAATATCAAAAATGTAAATCTTCTGTGGAAAGGCACGACTAGAGTGCCAAGTGATTGTGGCCACAAATATCAGTTGCAAATAAAAATGGAATTAAAACCTCGACTGCCAAGTTCTTTAGATATTACCAAGTTAACATTACTAGCATACTACGCAATCAAAATCTTCTTCAATATGGGTCTAATCACGCATCTACAGCGTTCCGTCTTTTCCTCGTGCTTTTTATTATGTCATATATCCCAGGTGGACATGTGATAAACAGTGAACTCGAATGACAGAAAACGATGGTCAGTAACGAACTTCTCAGATTAGAGTGGCACATGGTGATATTTACTTTCCGTGAGAGAACGTAGACTTCACATACCAAGGCCAGGAGGTTCAGCGATGCCAAAGAAGCCAACACAAGGCTGGATGCCAGAGCTATGTGTTCCGTTGGCCCTAAGCCACCGTTTTATAAGACTATCATGGTGTATATTCAGGCGTAGAGACGCTGAATGGAGGATTACCCTCTTTAGGAAAGAGTCTTGCTTCTATTTTGGAAACAAACGTTGGTCTGGAGTGTCACTTCTACTCATGGAATAATGATGTGGGATATAATAGTAGACATAATTTACAATCAGCCTTAGTAATACATTGATAGAGCAACATTATATAGAATTAGTCTTACAGCCAGAGGTGTACGGCTATTTAAGATGATCCAGGAACCATTTTTAAGAACGTCAATGCACTGTGTACGGCTATTTAGATATCCAGAACATGCACTGTGTACGGCTATTTAAGATGATCCAGGAACCATTTTTAAGAACGTCAATGCACTGTGTACGGGCTATTTAAGATGATCCAGGACCATATTTAAGAACGTCAATGCACTGTGTACGGCTATTTAAGATGATCCAGGAACCATTTTTAAGAACGTCAATGCTTGTGCTGGATAGTCTTCGTGGATTTGACTGCTAGCGTAGTTTGTTACCTTTCCGAACTTATCTTCCATAAAGCACATCCACAACATAGTTGGCTAATGCAGAAAGAAGAGGAGCCAGCCTGTCTAAATGTTTTACACTCCCAAATGCTTATAATATGGCGAAACATTCTTTAGTAGACAATGATTAATGACCTCATCGACGCCATGCCAAAGCGTATGAATACATTCATTTCCGCTCATAGCTTTAAATATTCCACATTGATAAAAAATGTGGATATTTTGTTTCTAACGTTTGATCATTTTAATATGATTAACATGGGCGTCGATAAAAATTTTGTTCTTCTAAGACATTTTTTTTTCTTGGTGTTATACTAGATGTCACACGCATTTTTTTCTTGGTTTCTTCTTAGGATTATCGTTGTTAAATAGTGTAATATTGTAATTTCATGTTTTGGAGAAAAATTTCTCAGGCAACCCGGAATTTTCAAAATTATTTCCATTGATTTTAGCACATTTTTATTTATCAGATTCAAAATTATTCTTTCCTATGAAACTACGCAAGTGCCTCTTCGTGTGTGAGTGATTCGAATATTTAAAAGATTTTGCATAAGAATACTGAATTATTTGGGAAATGAAACACCGAATTACGTCATTCATTCTGAATGTTTTTGATGTGACTGATGTTTATCGAAACGTATAGAATGACGTTGTGGTTGTTGTGGCTAACCTTATTTTTTGTACCTAATCAGAATAACGACACAAATTGTATCGAGACAAGGAATGCAAGATTGCTTTCGTCATTGGCATGAACCTCAAGCATCAGATGGTGACAATACGGTTTTGCCCAGTTTCGTTCCAATTTTCAAAGAGATCACTCCGTGGTACAGATTTGAAGATCGCCCCCCTCTTTCCTTATCAGCAATCAATCGAAAGAACTTTGGGGTATGCGCATATTTTGAGTGACAGTTTGTCTCACAGGCATTGCACATTTACAAGCATTCGTGTCTTCTTTGGGATTTGAACCCGAGCTCATCGGTACGACAGTTGGCGTCACTAACCGCTTTACCATCTACGCAACGTAGAATGAAATGATATTGGTAATTTCTTCAGAAAATAAAAATTTTTCTTCAAGGATGATAGCGATCTTATTTGTCATCTCTACCATATAAAACTGTGAAGAAGGTACTATCGAAGAATAGAATGATTTTTACATACCTAACCTTTTAAAGTTTTTAAACCATATTTCGATGTTTGTGCAGTTGCGAGTTCTTTTAGAGACGGCACGAATACTAAATTTTCTTGAAGTCGAATTCAGAGCCCATGTGATTCTTGAATCTCTGGAAACGTTCGAAACTCGAATCTTTCAGCGCACGAATAATGATAACAAGATGTCAAAACTATATATAATAATTAAAGTTGTTAATTCAAGCAGCATTTGAAAGCTTCCTAGAATAAAAACAGCATTTAAGAGTAAAGGTGTAAAGTCATTAGGTTAATTGGAAGCAGAAAAGATGAAAAGTATGCAACCGCCTTCGCCGGGAATCGAACCACGGACCTCTGGAATACCGGCCCAGAGTGCAGAACCACTACACCACTAAGGCACGAAAGCGGAAGAAATACCTTATATACTCCCTTTCTTAAAGGGCGACTAGGGTTTTAGGGGACCTAGTCGCCAAATCCTGAGTGCGGAGAATCCACAACCCTTTTTAATTCGAGCGCCACTTGTAGAGTCATTAAGTTAATTGTAAGCAGAAAAGATGAAAAATATGCAACCGCCTTCGCCGGGAATCGAACCACGGACCTCTGGAATACCGGTCCAGCGTGCAGAACCACGAAGGCACGCTAGTAAAGCGGGAGAAATACCTTATAGAGGTTAAAAAATACGTCTTAATGCATTAAAAAGCTAAAAACTAAAGTTAGTAAATAAATTACTTAATTAACCACGTAAAACTCTTAATCCTGAGGATTATTTTCTCAATATAATTTCCCAAAGTGTATTGAATAACAGTTCAGAATTTTTACATTTATTTGGAATCATTTTACATCAAAGGAAGTATAGAGGTGGGAGTATTATGGAGTATTATTGTTATAGTTAATACAGATAAATACTAAACATGGGACTTTAAATTCTCGTTAGAAAATTAAAACTATACCACAATGCGATTGGTTATCTAGATTCACTGAAACTGTAGAGCTTTGTTTCTTTTTTTAATGAACGCTTTTGTTTCACATCAGAAAACTAATCTTTTTTAAACTTTGAGTTAAAACATTTAATGTTTTCTAGAAAAGAACTCGAAAGATTCGGAGGGGAGAAGAGAAGCTGAGCTTCAAATTTAGAATCTTTCTCAAGATACGTCAGACTCAAAGATTCGGATAACTCCTTTCTCTAGATTTTACCATTAACAATTTATTA